AGATAGTCCTTGAGCTGTATAATACTGGCACGGAGCTAGGCTGTGAGTTGCTTGACACACGTCTCTGAAATTTTCAAATACATCAGCGAGAATTAATACTTCAGATTTTAAATAAATATTTGAATATTGGCCTAGAGTTTCACATTTATACAAATTCCATGCTTTCTGTGCACGCTTGTAATCTTCTTGTTTGATCCATCCAGACATCAATGGATGAGAGCTTGGTGTCATCTAATTCTGAAAATAAATCCACGTAAGGATACGGAAAAACACCCTTCTGTCGAATCATCTGAAACTCATCTTTCGCGGGTGAATATTTTTTAACTCCACGACATTGTTCTGGTTTAAATTTTGTGATAATATATCTAGACTTGAAGCCATGAATCAAACAATTTCGAGTAAGCTTAATTTTAAAAATACCTGTTTTGTTTGCCTGATCGATCGAGAGGGTTCTTATCCACCAAAACATTTTTGATAAATGAAATGTACCGCTCCTTATGGGATAACATCCAATCTCTCGGTTTCTTGAGCCAACTCCTTGACAAAAAGGTGAGAATCAAAATTGGACATACAGTGAGAGAAGATGGGAATGAAGTTTGGGTCATTAAAATTAAGGTAACATACAGGGTGAGCTGCAGCACAAAAATTACCAGTAAAATGCCAGTGGTCCCTCACTCTTTCGTCTTCTACTTAAAATAGTTTTTCGCAAATATGACAATTTTTTGCATTGCGAAACTCTTTCTCTTGTTCCTGACTGAAAGGATGCATAAGCACTATGTTCTTAATAAATTGATTATGGATTCATTAACAATCAGTCTCTAACCAGTCTACGGAAACTTTATATGCATCAGGTCCCCTGAAAGTCTTGAAAATTGAATGGGAATCGTCGAAATCGCATTTAATGTAGTATGTGGGACGCATATATCACACATACAACTAAACGTAGAGCTAATGAGTAGATATACTAGGCCGGTTCTAGAGCGGAAGTGACGTCAGACTCGTTCTGGGGCCCGTGCCCGTCATCAGAGAAGTCCCAAATTGAAGGGGCCTAACCCAGGTGAGCCTGTGCCCCATTCCAGGGCCCCATTTTTGTCGTGGGCCCCATTTTTCGTCAAGTGGAGGGGCCTAACCCAAGTGACGTCATCAAAGAGGCCACATGCTTGTCCCCGCTGCTAGACCCGTGGCCCCATTTTTTCGTGGGCCCCATTTTTTTTTGGCAAGCCCCAATTTAAAGAGGCCTAACCTAAGTAGCAAGCCCCCAATTTGAATAAACCTAACCCAATAAGTGACGTCATCAAAGGGGCCACATGCTTGTCCCCGCTGCTAGACCCGTGGCCCCATTTTTTTTTTCGGGGGCCCCATTTACATGAACTCATAACCTGAAATGAGATACCCCATACGAGATGGACAGGTACGTGCGACGTTGTCGAAACTAATAATGTTCGACGTTACCAATAAAATTTCCCTAAATCTAGGGAAAAATCGGAAAGGGGCCACTTGTCTCCGCAGCTAGACCCGCGACCCATTATCCATTATCGTATATGAAACCAATACAGGCCCCCAAATTTTGAGGCGCACGTAGCCTAGAACTCATAACCTGAAATTTGATGTCCCATATCTCGTGCTGGTAATTTGAAATTTGTACAACGTACCTAGAACTCATAACCTGAAATTTGATACCGCGTATCTCGTACCTGGTAACCTTCGGTACCTGGTACCTCGTACCTGGTACCTCGTACCTGGTACCTTAGTACCTGGTACCCACCCGTTACTTGTAACAAGATACACCGTGCTGGGCCCCCCTTTTTTCGTCGTCGTCGTCGGCCCCATTTTTCTAAACTAAAATATGTCACATAAAAGACAACATCATCATCATCATTGAAAAAATAGTGCTCCAATTTGGGCCCCATTTTTTCACGGACTTGTAACGATTTAATTGGGGGGGCCCCAAATATTATTTTTAAAATAATTATAATTTTCTACCGTTCTCATAAACAGCAACAAGAAGAGCAAGTTGTGTGTGAACTTGCTTAATCCTGCTTATCACACGGAAGCCGCATTTCCTGCGACGATAACGAAACGCAGCTGGCTGGCCTGGTAGTTGTTATTCATTTTCAAATTTTAGTTAGATTTTAACGTCCCTAGGTGACACAAAGTTTTTCTTCAGTGCTCATCCAGATTGAATTTTTCAACGAAAACTTAATTCAAAATTGGGCGTTACCTCAGTTATAATTGATTGTGTGTATTTAGTGCTAAAAACTATGTAAGTAATTTTTTTCATTATTCTTAAAGACCCTGATAATAATACATTGTTCTATTTTTAGTTTAATAATAGAATCATGGATTTACCCCAAATTAACCAAGCAGCCTGTCTTGAGGAAAAGTCCTACTTAAAGCTACAAGATTTGACTCCAGAGCATCCCTATCCAATTCGGGGTGTGACTATAGTGAATTCAAAATTTGGAGAAGTAGCCCGAGTAGAAATGGATAAAAACATTACCTTTCTTCCTCAACGTGCAACCGATTCAATTAAACAAAACATTCAGCACTTCGAGGCTGGGAAATTTGGATTGAAATTTAAAGGCATGCGAGATATTAAAGGCCTGAATCCAACACCAATTTTCAAAATTGTTGAATTGTAAGTATACCATATAAATTATTAAATTAATACTAAAAACATTTTCAATTTTTAGAGTAAACGGCATCGAGAAAACGTCAAAACGCATCAACAAGATCAATACATAATGATTCAGGAGGAATTTATTATTTTTTTTGTTGTAGAAATATTGATAATAAAAAACACTTTATATTTCTACATAGGTAGTTGTTTTATTTATGGGATATTTATTGTGGTTTTGGTATAGGAGAAAAAGAAATAGGCCAGAATAAATTTTTTATTTCAATTTTTTATTTAAGAAAAATATCATACAGGTTATATTTATGTTCTAGAATTAAATCAAGATGATTTTCATTCCAATAAATTTTTCCCATTGTTCGCATATCCACCATAGTCAGAGCTTTACTTTCTTCCTCATTCCAATAGCTAACATAAATGAATTCTCCAATGTAGAAATTTACATCATACCAACCATCATTTACATTATCGAGAAACTGTAAAAATTCCTCAAAATTCATTGAAGGTGAATGGTATAGAAGTTTCGTTCTTGTGGTTGTAAGACAATGTCCGTTTTTCTCAGGATTATAAATAATTTGCACAACTGTCTCCAATATTATATCTTGATACACTGGTTTTGGAACAATTTTCCAATTTGCATGTTGCTGGTCCATTTGCAAAATCTGGAAGTTGATGAAAATACTCCATCCCATTTCGGATCCATTTTTAAATTCTCAAAATTGGGGTTCGCCTAGGTCAAACCTTCGAAACTTCAAATTAAAGGCGCCGCCGATCTAGAGATTTTCGCACAGTATCAAAAAAGTTCCCAAGCTTCCCGTAAAATTATTTATTGAACCATCCAGAACATTGACTTTTTCCTATGAGCATAAACTAAATAAATACAAGTAGTGTGATTCCAGTTGATTCCCGTTCTAGTCTTCATCTTTAGTTTCCCTTTCCTTTTCCCTTTTTATTCGCCACTGCTGCTGGTAAAACAGGATGCTTCTCGTTAATCATTTTTGATCACCTGACCTTTCGTGATTAAATCGTTATCGTTTATAGCTTTGGAAGCTCTGACTATTTCTCTTGTCACCAATACTTATATATGAAAGGTGTTATATTAAATAACTTATGTTGTTCTTTCCAAGGCAGCTATTCTGGAGCCAATTTGTTTTTGATATCAGTGCCAATCGATTGGTTCATAGTGGCTAAACTTTCAATTTTCTTTTTGACTTTCTTTCATTGAAGAATTCACTGTTTTAAAATCATTTTCAAACGAGTGGCTCTTATTTGTCAAAGTTTCCAATTTTCTTTTGATTATCTTTGATTAAAGATTCTATCTGCTTATACTTTCCAGATAATTCTTGTGAGGGTGACTCAGTGACTTTTTTTCTGGTTTTCAGAATCTGTTTAAAATTTTTCCAAAAATTCTCTCAATGATTTATCCATATAGGATTTCGTTGCATAATCTTGTGATTGGTTTTCCAAACGTCGTTTCAACACCAAATTTTATACTCGTTAACAGTTTTTAAGCGCTGTGAACGACCAACGACCAAACTTATCGACAGACATGATGATACTAAATTGAATGTCTACTGCTACA